GTGGGTGTGGGTGTGGGTGTGGTGTGGGCGTGGCTATGGGTGTGGGTGGTGGGGGTAGGGGCGGGTAGGGGTGGGTAGGGGTGGGGGTGGGTGGGTGGGTGGGTGGGTGGGTGGGTGCATGTGTGCACGCGTGCGAGTGCACGTTGGCGTGCGAGTGCGGGTGCGTGAGTGCGTGCGGGTGGGCGGGCGGCGGGGCGCGGGCGCGGGCGGGCTCACATCAAAACACAAAGTTCACGAAGGCAACTTGCCACTACCCTGGCTTTACACGCACCGCTCGATTGGCAAGCTACAACCAGAACTCCTGTATCTGCGGCCTGATTTTGACGCGTGCATGACGAGCTCGAAGCCCAATGCCTCGCACACACGGTGAGTCATTGAGGTTTCACAGACTCATAGAGTGCAGCCAAAAATCTTGAAGGATCCTCTTCGCTGCACCCCACTTTCCAATTGCCTTGTGATACGGCGGCACGGCAAAACACGGGGACAGTCGCAGTGGCTGGCTCCAAGCGCGCCTCCGACACCGCTGGGTTTGAGAGCCGCAGCCGACGATATTTCTTCTCCTTGCAAAGAGAATCACTTGCCCTTGCCTAAAGCAGAAGCTGATGTAGATGAGTCCTCCAAGAAGCATGCATTTCGTGCCACATCCCGGAGCCTGTCCACAGTCAGTGTGAGCAGTGCACCTCAGCTGTGGCTGTGTGCACGTGCTCGGCTGCCAGTCGGAATCGTGAGAGTGAGCATTCTGAGGGTGGAGCGCGACTCCTCATCACCCGCAGCTTCCTGCAACAAGCGAAATGTGCCACAGAACACTCGCTTTCCGCTGGCCATTCGCCGATGGGTCTTTCAGCTCCAAGTTTGAAACAGCGGTCAGTCTGGCTGCAGACAGCCCTTCGGGTGGTTAGGATCATTCTCATTCCAGGTCTGCAGCTGGAATGGGCGGGGCTGATCTGACAGGTACAGAAGGCGTGGGTCTCTCCCTCTCCAGTTATTTGTCGTCTCATTGCCGGGAAGGACTGGGGACCGCACTCCGAATGATCACCCAATGTCTCGCTTCAAGAACCCTGAAAGTAGTTTCACAGAGCTAACGGCCTTGACCTTCTTGTCAGGAGCCACGATGGGTTGGCGACAATTTATTCTGCTGTCTTGTGCCAGTTTACGCAAGGTGGGTCTTGTTGAGGTGCGGTCCTTCGAGGCAGGCACTTCTTTGTGGACGGATCCTCCCTCGTCGCAGAAAAGCCATGATCATAGCATTGCCATCTTGATTTGTAGGCTTAGACCATGTATGCTGGTGCTTGCATTTTTTAGTTTTCGCGGTCATGCATACTGAACATACTGAAACGATTTCATCAATATTTCAATAATGCCAAACGCTCTTTGCACGCGCCCATGCCATGCATTGTCATACCCCAACGCAGGACAGCACTACATATCAAGACATTACGGAACAACAAATCGTCTATGAACTTGCGCAATGACTGCAATCGATCGGCCAATTGTTCTCGGGCAGATCATGTATGTATGGACGGTATGATGTCAAACCACACACCCTTTCGCACAGATACCATTCCCGACAGCAGGAGTTTTTGAGTTCCACTCTCCAACATAAGGGGGTGTCGGCAAATCTATGTGGTGTCCGAACTGGTAAGGAAGCAGAAACCAGGGCGTGGAGCAAACAGACGTTTGCAAATAAGACGGAACCGAAATGCTGGCAGCCGTGCGCAAACTGCCACGGGGGCGCAGAAGGCTGTGTGCCGCAATGCTTCTGTCGTGTCAGACGGAAACGGAACGGCAATGAAGCGAAAATCCAGAGCAGTGGGCCGAGTGCAAAACCAGATTCGGAGTCGAAGACGCGCGGGCTAAACGGAAGGAAGCGAGCATGTAGGGCGGAAGGTATCAGGTCCTGTGCAGGTAGACGGTAGAAGTATAAATCTCACTGTGCCCTCAAACTGCCCGCAAGAACTCTTCAGAACGATTATGAAACTGTTCATGCCGTATGCCAACATTGATTCTCAATGCCTCAAGTTGGCGAGGAGGTGCCTTGGCCTTCCCCTGCAAAACGTGCGGTTCCGTCCCTAAGCTGTCGCTTTCTGGTACCAGGAACTGCGATATCTGTGCTGGTTTGTTTAACAAGATACCAGTATTTCACTTTGGGGTGCAGCAGCGCTGCTGCAGTGGAAGACCAAATCAGCTGCCGAGCAGGAAGCGGTTTTACTTCCCACGTCTGCGGGCTCGGCGGCTTGAGCCGAAGGCTCTTAAGAGATGAAGTGTCGCTTGCGGAGCACTGGTTGGAACGATACCTGATGAGCTGGCATTGACGAGCACAAGGTCCGCCTGTGCGATCTCTGTCTTCAGCAGGTTCAGCTCTTTGGCGACCTTGGAACCGAACGCTCTGTTGCTCTAATCAGCTCATCATTTTGACAAGTCGCGCACGGCCACGCATGTAGTGAGCTGCTGCACACCCTCGCCCTCAGCCTGGACCAGTGAAACTTGAGATGCAGGAGCTGGCGTGCAGGGGCTCCGGATGCCGAGCAATGCCGAGCAGCAGGCTGGCAAGGTCCGGGAGTGTACACTCGGTGATACGTGGCCTTCCTGGCTCAGACGTTCTCGGCAAACTTCCTGCACGAGTGGGAAACATGGACATCCTCCCTCCCCACTGCCGACAAATATCGCTACGAGTACTGTGCTAGTGCGTCTCACAAACATCGTGGTCGGAGAGTGCATCGCGCTTGCCGGAGGACGCGGACACGCCGGATCCACCGAGACGGATGTCAATTGCGAACACGGACGGTCGCGGCCCTGCACACGCAGCACGACCGAGTTGCTTCCCTGAAGTAGTGGTGGGGCGTCGGAGCCCGGCCAAACTGCTTTCACCCATGCCAAGCTGCTACGCCATGCCAAGTCTGTGCTGCTTGTTTAGAAAAGCGGAAAGCCACCGTGTGCGCAATGCAGCGATCGAGTTCACCCTAGCCTCAGCTTGCAATTACATATTCCGGGTGTCGACTGCATAGCATAGCAATGTGTTCAGCAAGAAAGCTTAAAAAGTCTCTGGGCTGAAACGTCGTTATGATTGCCATCAGGTACATGCTTGCAAGGCCGAATCCTCGCCTCATGCTCCACGATCTGGAGTAAGCCCAAGCCTCAACAGGGAAATCATGGGAAATCCTTGAGGAATGATGGCTTTGACGAGGCTAGTTTTCAGGTGCTTTGCCTTTGAAGCCAGAGGTTCAATGAAAGCAATCGCAGTTCGGACAATAAGACTTACAGCTTTGACCATGTCGACCTTGACAGCATGAAAGAATACAACATCAAGATCCTCACAACCTTCTCACTAGTCGGCAGCACTTCGTGTCTGCATGACTTGTTGCTTACATGTTGCAATAGGTCACAGACTTTGCAGGACGACGGGCTTGGCCTTGCTGTCCGCAAATAGAACAGACGAAGCAACCACGACTGTCTAAGCCTCGGAGTCGCAGGACTACAGACTCAAACGCCGCTTTCATGCTCGTTGGGAAGTGGAAGAGTAAGTCAAGGACTTCCGATTTCGCCAGCCTGCCAGAGTCTGCTGGGTGGGCGCATGATCCAGATGCGCACAAAGACACAGGACCTCGATCTTTGCGAGAGCTGTCTGCAAAGACATGGACTTGTCCTGGCTCTTTACGAGGAGTTGTGCTGCTTGTCAAAATTTACAGCACTACAACCCGCACCGGTCCTGCCACGCCTTCTCAGTGTCGTCAGAGCTCGGCACTCCCTGAGCAACAAGGAGGACACGACAAAAACAACTGTCAGCAGCTTTACTTGCGCCAGCTTGTGCTTAAGGGGCTCAATTCCGAGGAGCATGTTGTCAACTACACGATTGTGTAATCTCTACTTGTAATTCAAAGTCTCACCGAGCCTCGGCCACCTGCATGCGCTTGCAGCGCACAAGATGCTCTGGAAGATCATCTTTTCGCACCTTTTGACACTGCAAGACGGCAGCCAAGCCTTATAAACAAGTGGCACCGCAGGAAGCTGACCATCGAACTGCGTTTGGCAGTTGCTTCGTTTCATCTCTCTGCAGGTCGCAGAATTCTCGTGGAAGATTTGCAGCGCAATTTTACAGGCACTCGCTGTTTCAGATGGTTAAACTCATCACATTTGCATCGGAAGCCTTGGCGGCAAGTTGCATTTTCTGCCCTCTCAACTGTGCACACAAATGCTCTGCAAGCTTTCGTGTCGACCAGGATTTTCTATGATTCCGTTAGCCCAAACTATCAGCGCAGTGGAGCGGAGTCTAAGCTTAAGACCGGGCGCTTGCACGAAGGGCAGGTGACCAGCTGTGCTCGTGCTTGTCCTTGAGAAAGCATGCTTGGCATTGTTCGGCACATTGCTGGAGGTGCTATTGAGGCCGCAGCTTGCACATGCCTGGCATGGCACCAGAAGCACAGCAACACACAAGGGTACTACTAGTTGAGTGAGAGAAGTTCAAAATTCTTGCGCTCCTTGATATGGTACTTCAGGGAGGTTCCCAGGAAAGTTTGGCCTCGGATCAAGCAATGCCGAAGGCAGGATACTGCACGTCGAGGCTGAGGTGCCGAACTACAAATTGGACAGCATTGGCCTCAGGGTGCCACTCAGATCTGACAAACGAGATATTCTGAGGTGCCTCGCTGCTACGGGAGCCTCCTCTCACAGCAAATGCCATCACAGCTCAGGTCAGCTTCCACTACTTTAGGAGCAGTTTCGCAAGTTGCCAAGCCTGATTAGAGAAGTTTGGCAAAGTGGTATGAAGAGAACAGAGATGCAGAGGAAGGCTAGCAAGTTTCAGCAGGCCTACTATCCCTCGATGCTGACTGTATGAGGTATAAGGAATCCCGCAGTTGCAATGAGCCAGTGCAACTTCATGGGCGAGACGAGACAAACTTTGAGGACACGCTCAGTGCAACAACATTCACCTGCGATGTCTCTTTCGGGGCACGGTCGTTTCGGCCAAAAGCAGCACTCGATCCGGACTGGCTTTCGTCAGGAGCTGACATGCCAATTTAGCACGTCTTGTCCCCTCTAAATCCAATCTGGGTTAGGGTTCCTTGACCCTGTACAGACCACAGAACGCCTTAGAACATTGCCTTCATGGGAACATATCTCAAGAGCTTCGGCCAAGTGCCACAGCAGCCAAGATCAACATGTGGAGCAACTTCTGCGCCCTCATTCTTTGTCTTCGACCGAAGAGCTTCCTCGTCAAATGCCTGCAACTCCTCGCAGTATGAAAAAGCGGAGTCTACAAGGTGATAGGTGAGAGCATGAACTAGTTCTGCACCCAGCAGAATGAGCATTCCGTGCTCCAAAGACACAACAACTCCGTACTTGGCGTACATGGACATACACACTGTAACCAAGTAGACGCCGACCATCGCTACGTCCAACATTGACAATTTTCGCGCGATCCGCGCAATGGTGATCGACTTGCAGCTCGTGGGCACGAGGACTGGCTGTCCACTGGGCTGATCCGTCTCTGCATGTGGTTTATTGAGAGCTGCATAGCCTTTACCACTGGCAAGGTGCAAGGCAGCCAACACCAGCGCAAGCATATCCAACAACGTGCTTCCCACAACACACACCGAGATCAAAGCGAGCGAGAGAAATGTATTGGCTTCCCACTCGTACAGCCTGCCGATGTAGTCTGTGACACATGAGACGATGCTCGTCTCTGACCTGAGCAAGTGCCTCAAGTCCAAGATGTCAACTACAGTTCGCGCTGATTCTGGCAAAGGCCCATATGGAGGAAAGAGCTGCTTCGTCTCGATGTGGAAAGACATGCACGGAGCATGCAATCCGTGTAAAAAGAGTGGGACGAACGCCAACGCGAGCCTCGGAGTCGAATTGCCATGAATCACGCTATGCCGCAAATCACGCTATGCCGCATGCAAGCTGCAGGTTTTTGAGTACTCTGGCCAACAAGTGCTACCAGATGACACCGGATGCTGATTGCTAGACACATGTGAGGAACCAAATGCCAAAGCAACGAAGATGATTGGATAAACCCTGCGAGTGACAAACTCACAGCAATGGCCAATCCACGTTCTCCAAGGTGTCGCAGCGCCACAGGCGCGATCGGAACCGATTTCCGAGATCTTGCCTCCCAGAGTGATGCTGCTGGAGAGCCCTAGGGCAGTAGGATGTGGTTCAGCTACTGGTACTATCCAGTATATCGGAACAAGAACTGCTTTGAGATACGTTGAGGCATCTGGCTCTGAGAACGGATCACAAATCCAGCCCGGCCTGTGGTAGCGGCACGCCCAAAGATGAGACAGTTGCGGTCACCACGAAGGTGCTGAAGCAGGAGAAGCCGATCTCCAGCCTGCTTGCATGGGTTCTACAGAGAAATTGTCGCAGCTGGGTTTGGCTTCGACTCGCGTCCCGCCTTGCCCTCGACAGAATTAGTGGCTCCTGATCCAGGGTTCGCACCAAGTCGACCAGTAGCACATAGGCGAACATATCTGGAGAAGCCCACTTAGACCTATGCTGTACCCACAGAATGACCCATCGGAATATCTCGGCACACCTCGCCGAAGTGAAGCGAAAGACTTCACCCAGAACCAGCATGACCAGCTCGAAGGCAGGGATGACCATCGAAAACAGGATAACCAGGAACGCACCAATCCGAGAGCCTGTTTTCCAAAGAAGGTGTGCCAAACCAGTTGTAGTCTCAGTGCAGACTGGGTGGCCAGCTTCCGGTTCAACATTCTTGCGGTGTCCGATTATGTTGATCACGATGCTAAAGCTGAAAACCGGGTTGATCAATCCAGGAATTAACAGCAAGTAGCTTGTGCAAAGCAGTAGTATTGCCCAAAAGTGTGGCCGGCCCTCCATAAGCGCTCCTCGGCACCTGCTGTCGAGGACCCATCCAAGCACAAGTGACAGGAAAACCGCCACGAGGATGAGGATGGCAAGCCAGTTGATTTGCTCTGGCGAGTCGCCACCGAGCTGCGGCGGAACATCGTAGTCCGGCCGATTGAGTCCCGAATAAACCTCATGCATTCCTGCTGACACTGCATTGCCAACCTTCTCCAGTTGGGTTTCCAGCGACATTGCGCTGCTTGTGCTGCGGTGCGGGCAGGGCCATGCTACTCTACCGCCACTTCTGGAAGGAAACACCAGCAGATACCAGCAGTATCATGCGCATATGCGTTTGCATGCGTGGATGTGGCAAGATTCTTCGGTGGAGCCTGCGGGCAGTCTATGGCAGCGTTGTTTTTGAACCCGGAACCTTGGGCTCAACGGTTGGTTGTTTCGTGAACACAGTCTGGAGACCTATGCTTTAGGCGCAGCGGGAGTGGTCCAACCATGTCCAACCCCAGCGTTGCAGTCCGATTCTAGTTTAAACGAGCCGGAAACTGTCGCAGAGCTAGCTAGTGCTAGTTTTGCTACATATTGCTACCCTAAACCCGAGCACCTCGCAAACAGGGACTTTCTCCGCGCTGCGACTTCCCGTTGTCGGAGGTGCCGTACAGGTCCACCCAGCGCCGCATCCAGGCGCGCCGCGGCCTCCCAAGGCCACCAAACAGCAGCACACACAAAGACCACCAGCCTGGGACTGTACGCTGAGGAAATAAGGCCCCTGGCTTCGGGTTTCAAAGTTGGCGGCAACATGCGGCAACTAGACTAGCAATCCCCTCTGCTACGCTGTCTTTCAAACACCTAGAATCTGGAACAGACACCAGACAGAGCCTAATCGTGAGATACCGTGAATTTCCGCATGGAGAACACAAGGAAGCATGTATGAGTCCGATTGAGATGGAGTTGCGAAAACTATAGGGGCGCATATGGGCACATTATAGGCCATTATACAATACCACTGAGCTACTCGGCTACTCAATCATGTCTCTACATTGCCAGCGCTTGAACTTTGGCATTCAATCCAGTGCTGGCCTCACTTCGGTGTTTCTTTTTCTCCTGTCGTGACGCTCAGGCTTCTTGGGACCATTGAGAAACGGAAAGCTTGCCGTACTTAAATAGGTTTCGACCGCTGCTAACCGCCACCTGGCTGTTGCTGTGCTGACCTGCGCTTAGGGTTCGAGTGTTTGAGCGTCGAACACGCTCTATAGCTCGAAATACGGTAGGATGAGGTTATACCGTTGTACCCATCATCCAGCAATGTAGGGAAAGGGAGACTTGCTGCCCGCCCCAGACTCCCTCACGATCCAGACTTTCGCAGTCTTGCTGCATCCAGACATTGAGGAGAGAGATGGGGACGGACGGGTAAGCGAGAATCGTGCGCAGCTGCATATGTTACCAAGCTTGCAATATCTTGCAATCATACGGCGGTATCCCCCTACGCGTGGCTTTCCAAGACAGCTAAGCATGGCCTCAACACCTGCTTGTCAGTACGGAACAGGCGTTGTATTTCTAAATACGCCTCGGACTGCCAAGATCTGCGAAGGCATAATGCTTCAATCAACCAGAATTTCAGAATCAAGCATGACTTCAATCTTGCTTTCCCCCCTGCAAACCGAGACTGGAGTTTTCAAACGGTGTGCCAGCACTCCTGTCATGCCTGCAACGGACGACAACTAAATAGCTACACATCGCCGAACCGTTTCCCATGCCTTGCATGGTTACAAGACTGGTGTGACTACTAGTTACTAGTAGGTGACTAGACTCTCGACTGGATGACTAGACACTGCAACTTCCCCTTGCGAAGACTCCCTCCCCGCGCATGATCACCCTTCATCTTGGGGTCAAGCAAGGGGGTGCCGTCTCCGGACAAGTGCCCGGACCGAGCCTCTCTGTGAAACGGCTGTGTTCGACTTCAGTGTGGACCGGGAGAGCGTGCATGCTTTATCCATCGCCATCCCCGTACATCATGTGCGAAAATGTTCAATGCGTGCCATCGCAACAGTAACACTGTAACACACCTCCATCTTGACTGAATGTCATAACACACACACACACACCAAGCTTTTGGCTTTCAGAGTCAGGAGGACGATCACATCACAGCTTGACAGACAATATCTGTTGCAGCTCATGCGGGAGGACGCATGCTAAGCTGCACCGCCCACTGACCAACTGCTGTGTCCTCGCCAGAGTAAAGATCATCCACCCACGTCTTTACATTCCTGGCATGAGATGGAAAGCAGCTGCTGCCCAATCCCTCATGCTGTCAACCAAATAGCGGATGGCAGCTGCTAGCACAACCACAATCACTCCCGTCGGCAACCGAAAAGCGAGAGAGATCATGAACATGAAGCGCCCGACGGCCCGACAGGCTTCAAGATTACACCCACTCATCTCTCGCGAAACGTGTGGGTACGCCTGCTATCCGGATCTGCCATGCTTGCCATATCTGACCTGCCACCAAATGAAGCCGTAGGTGTGTCAGGATCAGCAATGCGCTTGCACTGTGAGCAGATGCTCCGAGCAAGCCCCTCCAAGTCGACCGAAAAGGCTTGACTGGCAACTCAGGTGGATGAGCAGCTTTCAGCTGAGGCTGCTGCAAAGAAGGGCTGCCCCAGCCCTGAGTTTGAAACGACAGATACAAACACTTGGCCAATGCGCACCCTCTCTTCAAATTACCTTACCGTTTCGTCATGGCTGCAGCCTTGTCGTCTTTTCCGTGTGCCACTCGCATCTGAGCATAAACCAAGCTCAAATTGTCTGGGTGCAGAGTTTCTTGCTGTTTCTAGTTACTCTAGTTTGACGGCAGGCAGAAGGTTTCCTTTGTGATGGTCAGTCCTTGCGCCATCTTTGCCAAGAGCTGCATTTGTTCGCCTGGTGTGGGCTTGCAAGTCTTCTTCCTGAATCAGCTCTGGGTCGTTGTGTTCACGTGTGTGCCTGTTTCACTGCATGGCCGACATTAAAACTTCCAAGAGCGAGACCGAAAACAATTGATTTCCTGCAGTTCAAAGAACATGTCCACATGATTTAAGCTCCTACCACGGATTCCGTCATCGTGACGATTACTAGCGATGCATAAAGGCCGCGCTCCAAAAGCCCCAAGACCTGACGCGACACAGAACCCACGAAGCTGCTGTCGCCAACGGGAACTCAAGCGATGGAACCTCCCCGAGCAAAGGAGCACCGCCTCGACAACCGTCGCACTGTCTCAGGGTGTGGCCAAAGTTTCCCACTTCTGCACACCCGTCTCCGTCAGAAAACCCTTCGTCACCTTCATCAGCTCACGACCTGCAGCACAGGCTGCACGCACACCGCCTTGCGAGAGGCAAACTCTTATCCGCTCGCCCAGGAAGGGCACCATGTGCTACCAGCACTGCTCGTCCGCGTGGGTGCGGTAGACGCCCTGTTCGACCGGCCTCATTTATCTCAACTCGCCATCGAATGGCAAATAGACTGGCCAGAATCAACATCAGCCAACCGTGTGCGTGCGAAAGCAAAAGCAGCCTTTCTCGCAGATCTCGCAATTACCGCGATACATTTCGTCCGCTGCGCTAAACTTCAATGAACATCGGAGCTGGCCACAATCTCTGCGAGGCCCAGTCATCCAAAAACCAAACCGAAAACCTGGCACCGCAAACCTCAGCCTCACTTGGCAGAGGCAACTTTCTTGCACATACTATCCCAAGGTGGAAGAAAATATGTGGAAACTCATGGCACAATGCTGTGAGTCATTGCACACGATTGCACAAATGCAGTTGTGGTCCCTCGTTTGACGCGCTACATGGCTACGACAATATAAAGCCTGGCTCAGGAGGGTCAATTACCTTGGGGTCTTCCGTGATGCTGATCCCGGAGATGTACACATCGCCTCGGCTCCGACGTTGCAGAAACATGCAAGCCAAAGAACATCAAGTACAGCACACGGCGAAAACAAAGCATTGATGTGTTTGCACTGACGCAATATTGGCAGAACTTCTGCTTGCCCCTGCTATATACGACATAAACATACACGCACTTGAAGACCAGTCATGCTTACTTAAATGGATGTTTTTTATGGTTGATTGTTACATCATCTGCTGAGAAGAGTGCATCCCCCAGCGGCCCTCGCCGGGGCCGGCGGATGCATGCAGGTACCTTTTCTTGGACTGTGGGGGGGAGCTCCATTGGCCTCCGTACTCCTTCCGTCCCATTTCTTACGGTGAAACTTGACTTCCTTTGGAGCAGGAGGTGCACTCGCACGACACCGGTCGCACCGGTAGAGTTTAGATAAATCTTACAAACAGCGTGCACGATTCGGGCTTTTGACAGCTGTTTGTTGCGTGCTTTTGCATCTTCTAACTGAGCACGAAAGGCCTCAATCTCCTGGTTCGACGGATTGGAGGATGACGACATGTTGGGAGATGTTGGAAGCAAAAGGTTCCAACTGCTCTACAAAAACTTGGCTAAAGCGGGGACTTGCGAACCATTGCAAACTCTTGAGTTCTTCGGATGCTGGGTGACACTTCGGTGCGTTTGTGCTTCCGGTGAAACTTGATTTCCTTTGGTACCGGAAGTGCACACACACGACTGCACCGGTAGAGTTCAGACAAACATTGCAAACGGTGTCTTCTTGCAGACTGTTTGTCGTGTGCGTTGTCGGCATCCGGTTGAGCACCCAGGGCCTCAATCTCCTGGTTTGACGGACTGGAGGATGACGACGTGTTAGAAGCAGAAAGCTTTTATTGCTCTACAAAACACTAAAGCTGGGGAGTTGTGAACCTTGAGTTCTTCGAAGGTTGGGTCCGTTGCGCATGGTGAATCTTGACTTCCTTTGGTATACAGGAGGCGCACGCACACACGACACCGGTCGCGCCTGTGTGCGCCTGTAGAATTTTCATGAATGTTACAAACAGCGTCGCTTTGCACGATTCGGGCCTTTGACGACTGTTTGTTGCGTGCACGAACGGCCACAAACTCTTGGTTCGACGGATTGGAGGATGACGACATGTCGGAAGCACAAGGCTCTGTCTAACAGCTCTGCAAAAAATGCTTGGGCCGTGAGAACCCTGAGTTCTTCGGATGTTGGGTGAGACTTCGATGGGTCTGCTCCCGCTGAATTACCTCGAATCTTGACTTCCTTTAGTACAGGACGACACCGGTCGTGCCGGTGGAGTTTAGACAAAAATACAAACGGCATCTCTTTACCGGTTCCGGGCCTCTGAAGACTCTAGACTGTTTGTTGTGTGCGTTTTCAGCATGCAGCTGAGCGCGAACGGCCTCAATCTCCTGGCTCGACGGATTGGAGGATGACGACATGTTGGAAGCAAAAGGCTTTAACTGCTCGACCAAACTGGCTATAGCCTGGGCCTTGTAGACTTTGAGTTCTTCGGATGTTGGGTGAAATTTGGGTGGGTCTGCAATGTTCTGTGCTTTGCAAAACTGATGACCTTGGCCGTCTTCTCCATCTTGCCCAACAAAGTAAATGATAGTTGGCCATGGCAAAGGACACAGCGGGGTTGATACAAGGATGAACAGATGATACGCTGTTCGTGAAACTACTACCCCTTAGCTCCAAACTCTGGGGTCTTTCTTGGGGCTTTCCCTCCGACAGTCAGGGGGATGCTTCGGCGAGTCCTTCAGGAACATGTTTCAAGTGCTTTTGTCTTCTTGTGGCTGCTGAACAAAGTAATCAAGGTAGCTAACCAATACAAAGGACACAAACAACGGGTTGATACAAGGATGAACAAATGATAAAGATGTTTGTAAGGCTACTCCTGGGGTCTTCCATGGAGCATTTCCCTCCGAGACATCAACCTTCGCCAACGGCTGCAGATAACGACAATTATGTTGGGGGTCCCGACGTTTCGGAGGCTGCTGGGACTTGGGCTCATACACCAGAATCGTCATTCAGCGGTTATTCAAAAGTATTTACTTACCCCATCACTGACCAGGAGTCCGACAGCGAATGGCAAACTATTGTCGGGAAACACAGGAAGACCAGTCATCCTTACTTAGATGGATGCTGTTTGTGCTAGGTTCTTACATCTGCTGAGAAGGGTGCATCCCCCAGCTGCCCTCGCCGGGGCCGGCGGATGCATGCAGGTACGTTTTCCTGGAGTGTGGAGGAGAGATTCGTTGGACAGAGCCCTGCGCACTCCATGTGTCCCCCTGCTTCCCGTGAAACTTGACTTCCTTTGGTACACAATGCCATTTCATAATGGTGGTTGTCGGTTTGGCAACATGCTGACATGCACGCATCTTCTGGAGCATTGTGGCTGCATCGGCTGAGGCACAGATGATGCCTTCAGGCAAATCCTCGTCTTCAACGGCCTGCAACCAGGTCCACACCCATAGGCAAATTCTGCAAACTGCAATGGCAATGCCTTGTAGCCCAGTTTCCTAGCATCCGCAGGCTTGCCGCTTGCCTGGACGGTGAAGCCATAGTGACACTTCGCCTGGCTGCGAGAGGTTGCAACCGCGGGAATCACTGCCCTACAGTGCCCAGGCATCTGCTGCTCCAAGCGGCCAGCGGAATAAAGTCCCGGAAGTTGTACAGTACATCCACGAAGAGGAAAGGGAACTTCCGAACATCAAATCCTAAATCTCAGCAAAGCACTCACTCGTCACATCTTTACTGTGTAAGGACAAGACACCAAAGATCTCTTGGCAGCTTAACAAGCCCGCTGTGCTGCAAACTGCGGCAGGTACTGTGCAAATTTTCTTCCGAACATCCAACGGTCCCATATTCTCCAGAACTTGCCTTTAAGAATTCCTTCTAATCACAATAATGATGGAGAGGGTGAGTTCAATTGTGTCATCATGTACAGAACCGTGACGGTCTGAGGCTAAGGCCGACTTCCAACCACTCGCCCTGAGGATCCTTGATGACATAGCCTGAGCAATGTCCAAGAAGAAACGCACAGGACAACGGACGTTTCCAGCAGCAGAGCTGCGTGCAAAGCCTGCGATACCGCGCACATGCCGCACATGCTGTGAAGCACTTCAGACTACCAGGAGGTTTCGTGTACGTCCAGGAAATATGAGTTTGTGAGGAAACATCAAACCCTCTGCCAACGGCTTCCGCAAAGTATCAACTGCTGATTCTCGCACTTGGGTACTTTCGCAAACGAGCGAAGTGATTCCGTCAGTTCCTCTCTTCCAATAGTAGGATCGTAGCTTTGGGGCTTGGGTCAATGCATGCTCGTGATCCCTGCTTAGTCCTCTGGATTTCCCGAACGGTTTTCAAGACTTCCCACCAAACAAAGCCTCAAAATAAGACTCACCTCAAGGATCAGATGCGCGAGGCTTCCGGTGTAGAATTGCCCAACCTACGTGGTCTCCTCCATACTACTCACAGTATTCACAGTATGTCGCAGTCATCCCAGCCCGCCAACCTCTCGTAAGAAAGCCAAGCAGTCTCTGACTGACTCTGGGGTTTGGGCGCTCAGATGCCACTGTAGAACAAAGTTCTCGTGTCTTCAGGGAGTCTGGGATTGGGGCTTGGCACACACAAAATAGCAGCAGCGTCTGAAATCTGTACTTCGTCTGGAATTGGACAGTCCGAAAACTTTCAGTGGCAACCCCTGCTAGACGGTGGTGGTAGGTTCGGCACACGAACCCTTCACTTCAGCAGAAGCAACACGGGAATCACAAGAGCAAACAGCACGTCACAAGCATCTTCTTCACCATGCAGCCGCTGTCTGCAATAACAAAGGATTTGCCATTGAACCTCAGATGTTAAGGCTAAGGAAGCCGTACATGGAGCAACGCAGAACAACACCGTGGCACGGGCACAGACGAGCGAGCAGAACTTGCCAGGGTGCTGATGCAGAAATTCCGGGACACCGAGCCTAGGCCGTGCTATCTCCGGGCCCACTGACAGTATTTCCAGAGACCAAACTGTGCTGAAAGGCTCGGATTGGTTCAAACACCATCCTGCAGCTCGGAGCAGTCCTGGATCCATGTCCTCATGGGGTGCAGTCTCTCACGGCAGGCTCATTTCGCTCGCAAACTCCACCCGCTTGCCTTCCGCTTTGAGGCGTCGCGGCGACGGTACGCACTCCTACAAGCGCAGATTTCATGATCGCTGTCTACTCAGTCAAACACGACTTCAGCAAGCGGGGGGAATGAGCGGGGGCTACCACCTTCACTCAGTCCATCATGTCTCAGACAGCGATGCTAACAACATGCCAGGCAATAGTCATCGAGGGGCTAAGTCTCTACCGATGCGAAATATTGGCCGCGAGGTGTGGGTGGGAGCGTGGATGTGTGGGTGCGTGGGTGTGGGGGTGTGGAGGTGTGGGTGGGAGTGCGGATGTGTGGGTGCGTGGGTGTGGGGGCGTGTGGGTGTGTGGATCTGTCAGTCTGTCTGTCCGTCCTGTCTCTCTGTCTGTCTCTCTGTCTGTCCGTCTGTTCGTCCGTCTGTTGGTCTGTCCGTGTCCGTCCGTCCGTGTCTCTGCCTCTGTCTCTGACTCTGTGTGTGTGTGTGTCTCTGTGCTGTGTGTGTGTGTCTGTCATCCATGTCTGTGCCTCTGTCTCCGTCTCTGTCTCTGTATGTGTGTGTATGTGCGTGTCTCTGTGTGTGTGTGTGCGTGTGCTTCTGTGTGTGTGTGTGCTTCTGTGTGTGTGTGTGTGCTTCTGTGTGTGTGTGTGTCTGTGTGTGATGTGTGTGTGTGTGTGGGAGATGTGTGTGTGTGTGTGTCTGTGTGTGTGTGTCTGTGTGTCTGTGTGTTTGTGTGTCTGTGTCCGTGTCCGTGTTCCTGTCTGTGTCTCTGTGCGTGTGCTCGTGCGTGTGCTCGTGCGTGTGCGTGTGCATGTGAGTGTGGGTGTGGGTGTGGGTGTAGGAGTGCGTGATAGTGCGTGTGGGTGTGGATGTGGGTGTGGGTGTCTGGCTGGGTGGGTGTGTGTGTGTGTGTGCGCGCGCGCATGCGTGTGTGGGTGCGCGTGCATGCGTGCTTGCGTGTCGTGCGTGCGTGCGTGCGTGCGTGCGTGCGTGCGTGCGTGCGTGCGTGCGTGTGTGCGTGCGTGCGTGCGTGCGTGCGTGCGTGGGTGTGTGGGTGTGTGTGTA